CTGTATTCGGTTTGAAATACAGCGACTTAGTATCCATTGTCATCTTTACAATCGGCGAATCAAACATCTGACAAAATTCCACCGTTAATTCATCAATCCGCATCAATGATGATCCAGGCAATTGTGCACGTTCTTCGATGGTTGTACAGCTGTCGAATAGTGAGTTCCATGTATGCCATGGTATTATGAGATGATTCCCACGATTATCACCGAGAAGAATTTCTACATCGGCTGTAGGTCCTACGCTGATTCCAATTTCCAAATATTTGCTGCCCGTGGATGTTAATGCGTATCTTCTGACCATGACACGCGATGGTTGGCGCGGCCTAAAAAGCATAATCATGAAAATTACCTATGTTTCATGAAAAAAAAATTATGAAAGGTTACCTGTTAAAAGTATTCTCCTTGCATGGAGATACACCATCATCTTGCATGATTGGAACGGAATGACCCATGGCACTGGTACTACACATTGTTTTTTCAGAGCACTATTTATTCCGTCGGAATTCAGCGACGCTACTGAGCGATTGATGGAATAGCGTCCGGGAGCCGGCTTAAATAGAGGTGCAATTGCTTCCCCCCCACCACATTTTATTCTACAGCTAGCAATTTTTCCATAATGTTTTTTTTCAATCTTAACATCGCAGCATATCGCGCGATTGCATGTAATTTGAGCCCCACCTTCAAGGATAAAAGTCTCGACACGTGTTGAATGTAATATAATATCTGGGGAAGCGTCGAATCTTAGAATTATGCGGAATCAGCAGAGACTGTGTTGAACGATCTTGCACACTAATTCATCAGTATGCATGAATCACGGGACAGATTGTCATTTTTGCATGCAATGCATTCGAGGGAACACCGATAGAGTTTGGCAAAGATACCAAATGGGCGTGGTGGTATAAAAACACGCTCTAAACTGCGCGTAGTCTCAAATAGTTGTAACACGTTGCATGGAAAATACGATACATTTACATTCCATTTTCAACCATGGAAGAATTCGCGAGAGTAGAAGGTCAATTGTTGGATCGATCTGAACGATTGATTTCACGGGGAGAGTACCTCGCGTGGGAAGAACTGTGCAACGAGTGTATCGAATCTTTAGAAGAACACAGCCAAGTGAAACGCGCGCGATTATCGATCGGCGTTCAACAATCGTTGGTTGCTCGAATCGCGCGACTCGAAGGACTGAAACATACGTTGCGCGGCCGTTTCGTACGCGAAGGTGCTGGGCATTCTAGCAGAGGACTTTTGTGGCGCGAAATAGACACTCCGTTTGATAATCGCGTATTAACTGGTGCCGTCCTAAATTCGAATTATATCGAACCGCGCAACTTCCTCCAGGATGCAGAGACCATTGTGATGGAGCATGTGCGAGACGCTTTGAAGAAGCATAATCTCAAAGTGTACACAGTATTTAATGGTGAATTTGTAGCGGGTGGCAAACGCGCGCGCAAAAGCATCAACACCAGAAACCGCGAACTCTTTCACGCATCTGATCTGCACGAGTGGTACCAACGATACATCACTGAACCCATCCTGGCATCACTGGAAGAATTCCAGGAACGTGACAGCGGATGGGCGCTGATACAAATCCTTAATTTGACGATTAACGTGAACAAGTATAATCCACTCCGCGCGGGGTGCCACTTCAAGCTGCCGCGAGAGATCATGCTGAAGAGGGCAACAATAAACATACAATCCTCAGCCAAAACATGTTTCGCGTGGGCAGTTGTTGCAGCTCTACATCCAGCTAAAAAATATCCTGATCGTCCAGGTTCATACCCGCAATATACATCGGTCCTAAATCTCCATGGCATTGAGTTCCCAATGTCCCTGAAACAAATTGAAAAATTTGAGCTGCAGAACAACATCTCGATAAACGTCTACAGCTTCTCGATGGAGAAGAATGGACCAAAAGTCTTTCCACTGCGTCTCACCAGCCAAAAGAGGGATCGACATGCCAACCTGCTCTATACGCCGGAACAGGGAGGCAGCGATGTAGGACATTTTGTCTGGATCAAAGACTTATCCCGACTAGTGGGCCCGCAGTTGAGCAGACACAAAAGAAAAAAATACTTCTGTGACCGGTACGTATAGAAATTTATGAAATGTTCCCAATGAAAAAAAGATTGAATAAAAAAATTTTTTTTTGGTGTTGCAGATGTATGCACTATTTTGGCTCTGCCCAGAAGTTGGACACCCACACAATTGACTGCCGCGAGATAAACAACTGCGCCATCCCGTTGCCCAGCCAGGACAGTCAATGTCTCAGTTTCGACAATCGCGGTAGGAAGGAACGGCTCCCCTTCGTAATATATGCCGATCTGGAGTGTGTCCTGCAAAAAACGGTGGACACCCAAAAGGATGCGGGGAACCGCAAATTGTGCATGTACCAGAAACATGAGGTACATAGTATTGGTTATTATATGCATTGCTCGTACGATGCATCGCTGTCGACGTATCGATGCCATCGCGACGCGGATTGCGTTTCATGGTTTGTCAAAGAGTTGAAAAATTTTGCAAATTTTGTTAAACCCATTCTGGCAAAGAACACACCCATGCTAGCTAGATTTAACAACTCAGCTGTTGTCGGTATTTCGCAATTCGACACACTGTCATATTTGTGAAGAATCACTCGAGGCTACAGATATACGAGTCCGCGATCATTGCCATCTATCAGGGCAGTTTAGAGGCATAGCTCATTCAGAGTGCAATCTAAATTATAGAAAATGCGTTTATATCCCCATAGTTTATCAAAATTTATCCGGCTACGATTCCCATTTTATTATCGAAGAAATAGCTACAGCTTTCGAAGGCCACATTACTGTATTACCCATTACTAAAGAAAAGTATATTTCATTTACGAAAAATGTCGAAGATACGGATGAAGTATCAGACTCACGAAATTGTATTAAATTGCGATTCATCGATTCATACAAATTTTTAAATACCAGTCTCGACAAATTAGCATCTTTTCTTAGCACAGATAAATTAAAAATTTTACGATCTCAATTTGAAACATTATCCATCGAAGATTTCTATTTATTGACGCGGAAGGGTGTATTTCCATATGAATACCTTGATCGCGCGAACAAACTGCTGGATCCATGCTTACCGCCACGCGAGTCTTTCTACAGTTCATTAACGGGTGAGACTGTACCAGAGACCGATTACGCACACGCCGAGACAGTCTGGCAGCGTTTCGAGATTAGAACCTTGGGCGAATACAGCGATTTGTATTTGAAAACTGATGTCTTGTTATTGGCAGATATTTTTGAAAATTTTCGCGAAAGTTGTATCAAGAGCTACGGATTAGATTCAGCGCATTACTATACTCTACCTGGTTTCACATGGGATGCAATGCTAAAACATACCAAAATTACATTCGAATTGCTCACAGACATCGATATGGTCACGTTTATCGAACGCGGTATACGCGGGGGCTTAAGTCAATGTTCAGGAAGATACGCACAAGCCAATAACAAGTACATGCAATCCTACGACGCATCGGAACAGTCATCGTACTTGATGTACTTTGACGTACACAATTTGTATGGTTGGGCAATGTGCCAGCCCCTGCCATATGCAGATTTTCAATGGGTCAAAGAAGTTGAAAATTTTGATGTGTCTTCAATCGCTGTCGATTCGCACACGGGATACATTCTCGAAGTAGATCTAGAATATCCGCAACGTCTGCATGATGCTCATGCCGATCTGCCGTTCTGTCCGACGCGTGCCAAACCATCTGGCAGCAGACAGGACAAATTACTCGCGACGGTATACGATAAGCAGCGTTACGTTATACATTACCGCAACCTGCAACAGTGTACACAACACGATTTTCGTATTACAAAGATACATCGTATCCTACAATTCGCTCAATCCCCCTGGCTCCGCGATTACATCGAACTCAATACACGGTTTAGAACAAACGCGAAAAACGATTTTGAAAAAAATTTGTATAAATTGATGAACAATGCAGTATTCGGTAAAACAATGGAAAATGTACGAAATCATGTGGATGTAAAACTTTTGACACGTTGGGAAGGGCGATATGGCGCCCAGGCAATGATCGCGAAACCGAATTTCCACAGCAGAAGTGTTTTTTCGGAAAATTTAATAGCTGTTGAATTGCGAAAACTCGAGGTGAAATTCAACAAACCGATATACGTGGGCATGTGCATTTTGGACATATCCAAAATTTGTTTGTATGAATTTCACCACGAGTATATGTCTCCACTTTATGGCCAAAATTGTCAAATTCTATACACAGACACCGATAGCCTCATATATCACATTCAATGCGAGTATATCTACGAAACCATGAAGCGGAATATCGATAGGTTCGGCACAAGCGATTATCCTATTGACAATGCACATAATATGCCGAATGTAAATAAGAAGGTCCCAGGGCTGATGAAGGACGAAAATAACGGTGCGATAATGACCGAATTCGTAGGTCTTAGAGCGAAAATGTATGCACTCCGCGTAGATAGCATAAAAGATACGAAAAAGGCGAAAGGCGTCAAGAGCAACGTCATAACTAGGATGATAACTTTCGACGACTACGCGGAGTGTTTGCACAAGGAGATCGAAATGGTTCGCAGGCAATCATGTATACGGTCGAAATTGCACAATGTGTACACCATTTCGGAAGCCAAAATCGATCTAAGTCCACACGATGACAAGAGGTATATCGTACCCGATTCGACCGACACTCTGCCCTGGGGACATTATGGGATACCGTTGTAAATCGACATTATTTTATTTATTAACTCCTTCTTACAAATAGTGGAATTATTGTGTAAAAAATAAAATTGCTCACATCAATATGTATCATTGTATTTATTGAATCATGTATTATTATGTTACAATACATAATTTTTATTTATCCAAGAATTGTGTGATTTATCAAACCCTAGCCACTTAACATATACCTTATCTCCCTTCCTACGCAACACTTTTTCCACTAGATGCACATCAGGATCGGTGACACGCTACAGCTCGTGTTCGTAGAATCCTCCGGCAACAGGTTTTCCACACGAATCGAGGAGCAGATACGTTGCGGGATTAGTTGCCTGTACTTTGGCTATCTTGAACACCTCCGTTGACCAATTCGGCGTATAGCCTTTATCGAAGATGGTTTTAAATTTGCTCACGCGCACAAACTCGCCCAACTTGAATTTCGCTGGAGCAGCGATCTTTATGTTGTTGTATACGGTGGCAAGCAGCTTATCAGCGATCGCAGGGGTAACATCGCAAGGACGCATTCCGATGGTTCTATGTTTTAGTGCATTATACTCTTCAAGTAGACGCGGTAGCGCATCGGTCCATTTATAGGTTCCATTGAGAGTAAACAGTTTCCACATATTGTTCTTCAAGGTTCGATTGAAACATTCTACGACGGAGGCCTTCATCACCGAATACGTTGAATAATGATTAACCCATTTGCATCATCGCTCTACTTAAGCTTCCGCATTGAAACATCAGCGACGTTCAACTGACGACTGACTTGTATCACCACGCGCGGTCGATCGTATGTGCAGTAACGGGCATCGAAATTATTCATCGAGTTTATTAAGAATGTACTTTTTAAACGATTGATACACAGTGTTATATCGCAAATATCGCATTTTACATTTTTTTACACAAAAGGAAAAACAAATATTTTTTTATAAAAAAAATAAATTTATTTAAGTTAAAATGAACATTTAAATAAATTAATTTTCGTGAAATTCTTTAAAGTGGTCAATACATAATGCTTTATCACAAACATCGCATTTAAAGACCGTCTCCCTTCGAATTGACTTACTTAAGCATACAACGCATCGTTTTGAAGTTCTATTTCCCTTTACTGGAGTTGCAGGTATCCGTACAGGAAAATGCCTGCCAGTAAATCGCGTAATGGAATCATTGACAGATGCCTTATTTACATTTATGTTGGGTAAATATTTATCAATAATTTCTTCAGCTAATAACTGTTTAAACACATGAAACGCTCGATCTTTCTTATGATTTTTAAAAATTACATAACTGTTCAGCAACATCATGTCAATAAAATAAAAAAATATTTTTTTATAGGCTTTTTTACATCTTCGCATAGTGTGAAATTTGCTTAACATCTGGTCGCCAACATCAACTCCACCCATATATTTATTGTAATCTATTACTGCGGTTGGTTTTAAACTCTTTTCTCCAGTATATCGGTTTCGTTTCCCTGTTTCAGCAAAATGTAAATCGTGCATAGTAGTTAGCATAACGACATCTTTCTTGTCCTTCCACTTTATCGCCGCCATCTCTTTTGTACTAAATATAACAGCTTCACCCTTTTGTAGTAGGTGTGATTTTAATTCTGGAGGCATTCCTTTTCTATTTATTCTTGCTGTTCCACATACATTTGTTTTCATATTATATAATTCTCGGTATAATGTTGGCGAACTGTACCAGTTATCAATGAATAAGCAATACCCCTTGTGCAATAATTGACTTTCTTTTAACAAATTGATTACAACATTCCTGCCAGCAGATCCTGTATCAGTTTTATCTTTTCCTGTATATATATTGAAATTATGTATGTATCACGATTGTGAATCACAGAGTTTATAAAACTTGACACCGAATCTCGCACGTTTTGTTCGAATAAATTGTATATAATGTAAACGACTTCTACATGACATTAGTGATTCATCAATGGAAATGTTTTTATTTGGGGCATACATGCGAATGAAAGTTTTCTTTACAATTTCAGTAACTTCTCGAATTTTAGTCAGTGCGTCATTAGGATTATTTGTACTGGACAAGTGTAAATTTTTTGAGATAGAAATAAATCGGTTACGGCTCATGATATTCTTAAAATACGGAGTTTCTATACTTTTATCTGTTGACCAATAGCTTTGAATCGTGGGCTTGGAAATCAGACTCATTAAAATATTTAAGGCAATAAATACTTTTAATTCGCCCTCTTCAAGAGGTATAAACTCTGCGTCGCTTGCGCCATATAAATTTGTTTCAGTAATTATTTTTGTAATTAATTCATTGTTAAAAAATAGTTCAAAAACCTCCCTTCTCGACAGACCCCGTGTATTTACGGTTGCACCACCCGCAATTGAAAAACGATGTATAATGGGAGTATGATTTTCGGCTTTCCACACAAACTCTCCATTTATACAACTGTCGCACTGTTCATTTTCGCTATCATCACTTGACGAAATCCTCCGGCAACGTTTTCTAGGACGTCGTACCTCAATACTTGAATCCGAATCAGGATACTCAAAATCCATTGGGGCAACTAAAGTTTAGATTATATTATAAAATAAGATTGTTTTCCAAACTTTCATTCTTAAATTTAAATATACTTACTCACAGCGGCAGTTTGAAAGATTTTCACAGAAAAAGTAAAACTTTTTTAAAATACACTGATGTATATTGAACTGAAAGAACCTAAACGCTCTCGCAAGTGGTTAAACGTTGTCTGTCGCAATTGAAAGCTATTTCGCAACTGGTAAAAGAAAGCAACATAGGCTCGCGGAATATTCCGCGCTCGGTGATAGCTGACAGTCGTAGGCTCGCGAAATATTCCGCGCTTGGTGATAGTAAACAGTCGCGGCTCGCGGAATATTCCGCGCTTGGTGATAGTAGACAGTCGCGGCTCGCGGAATATTCCGCGCTTGGATGCAAATGGGTTAATGTCATGCTTTGTCAGAGTTTCCTTGATCGGTTTGCAAATTTTTCGGATATCGATCTCTAAATACCTTTGCAAATGCTTTAGTCACCTCAACACTACTTTTAGTCTTGAGCGGGACCGCCCATGCATACTTGCTCAGCACATCGATGACGGTGAGTATATAGTGTGACCTCGGTTAAATCGCGAGTAAGGACGCATTTCTACAACATCAGCTTGCCACAGATCATCGTATCTATGGACTATGAAGCGTCTCCGTGGGAAATGTCTTCGAGCTGGGGCATGCGATTCCTCAACAAGTTGTCGCTTCTTGCGACTATGGTTTTCTTTACTCTTTGGATTTCGATAATGGCGACATGTTTGATCGCAGAGGTATCTTTGACACGAATGAAGTGATAATTATTGCGTACATGTATTATGTGCTTCCCATCGTCCCAAAATAATTCTGGACATGTTCAACCGTCTCGCATGATTCTCCATCGCAATTCTGCTGCGGGATAGGATTCAATGTCTGCGATATCTTTTGAACACTGTTTTGCAACATTAGCATATCTCTCTGCCACACAATCAGCTTCCTCTCCAATTCTTCCTGCTGCTCTCTCAAAAGTTTAATGCTCTTTTCCACATATAGTTTATTGACAGCATCGCTGTCGGCTGCGGGTTGTGCTACGCGTCGTATCTTGCGTGATTTTGCATCAAAGTCGGCACCTGCCACGCAAAGAGCATTGTCTCGCATATAATTTCGAAGCATACCGCTCCATTTGTAATAGTCCATTCTAACTGCTCCACTCTTCTCGAGCGATACCCCAAATTTGTTGATCGGCATCTCAATGCATACAGTGCACATCATCGGTGCGCGGTTTAATTTATAATGAGGCCTACCTCGCGGAGTTCCTCGATAATCGATAGAATTTCATGGTCATGCGAGTTGTTACCCGCCTGACGCGACGCTTCCAACAAACGGAGTCGATCCACCAGCTCGTTGGGATCGTCCCAGTGCACGTAATCGATCTTGTTATCATTTACCGTCATGACATGCGGAACCGGCAGGCCTTTCCCTGCCTTACTGACAGATACACGGGGTAGTAGCGGCGCAATTACATGTTTATACTTGTATCCCTTGTTACCCATTATAGGATTTTGTGCGTTATGGCCACGTCTGTGAGCATTTGTTGTCAGTAGTATACTTTTGTATTTTTGTCTATCGGCATCTGTGTATATGGCATCGTCGGAAATTCTCTTGAAAATAAGTTCATAAAGACCGGGAGTTCCTCCATATTTTACACCATCTATGATTATATTATCATCCTTGTCCATATCGAAAGCCTTATCCCCAAGCATCGTTCCACTATTGTCAAAGTATACTCCATACACATGATCCATGATCGTATCCCTATCACCACTTAGGATGGCACGCATGTATTTTTGCCCCAACGGACCAAAATGGTTGCGAAATGTTTGTTGTCCCTCGGATGTTTGGAGTTCATGCCTAATAGATGTTGCAAATGACTCATCGGCAGAAGTTTCGTAAACGTAGTCAGCATTGGTTGTGATCGATTGTATATCGGGAAATGTATTTATTGGTGTAGGCGGAACCGGGGAAATCGTTTGACATGACGTTCGGTTGTTTCCGCTCCGATTGAACTGGTGTGGAGGTTACGAGCGAATTTTCCGATGACATGTATAATCGTTTTCTATTTCTCTTATGTGATATGTTCCCTTCCGGTTGGATTTTTGGTTTATCTGTTAATGTTTCATTCCCTTCAACGGTCGTGCTCGTCAGCGATGGTATGTCAGCTTTTGTCGCTGTTGTATTTTCCACAATATGTTTTAAGGGCTCAACAACAGGTTTAAAGTATCTCTCCAACGCGATATCTTCCTCCACCTTGCCAGTCTTCAAAGCCTGATGTTTCTTGCGAATGGAATCACTGGTTTTTGCAATTTCCTTCGATATTCTCTCGCAATCCTTAATCTCCAGACTATCGATATCAGTCATTGTGCCGCAGACGTTGCTATTCGACGTGTTAAATCCCTTTCTATAGGGTGTCCCGTAAATAGTGTAAAAACCGGAAATGGGGGGTAGCTGAGACAATTCTGAACAACAATTTCCTTTGCAAAAATGTCGGATGGGGCTTCGTTTTTGAATTATTAACGAAAAACACTGACCAATCACGGCGCTCGCCTTCCGCGCGCTCAGGGCCGTCCGACCTCGGAGAGCCACCGCGCCGGGTAGGTAGCAAGATGCGCGTTGAAGATACATCGAGGAACGAATACAAATAATTAAAAATACTGCCACTGCAATTGTTACCTAATTCGTTAATTACTACGTAATTAGTACGTAAATTACTAAATCGAATTTATTAATTATTTGTATTCGCTGTTTCCAAGGAAGAAGGAATAAAATCTCGGAATTTTTAGGAAATTAACTCTTCGCACTCGAATGACGCTTCTCGCCAGCAGAGTGTTTTAAAATTAAAATAAGAATTATCATCAGAAAATTAAAAGAAATACGGTAAGAACCATTTGTAACCGTTTGTTATTAAAAACTGTACTGGAAAAGCAGACTGGATTTCTGCGTACCGAAACATTCCTCGAATGCAAAGGGTTAATAGATGTAAGATATTTTAGATATTTTCCCTTTAATATCTTAATACAATGGTTTGTACGGAAAGCTGACTCGAACGTAACTAACTAAATTATTATTAACAAACGATTAACTAATAAAATGAACAACTTCTAAATGCATACTTCACGCGAAACACACACACATAGTCGGCAATGCCTTTAATCGAAACTCTCACATAATGTAACTGCACTCATTCATTACAAACCTAAAGGTTGCTTACAGCTTCGGCCATCCTGACCTCATAGTCGGCTTGACCATGCACACCATCGAAATTCCCAAACTCAATTTCGGAGTCGAGATCAACGCATTGTAACCATGGTCTCATTCGACCGGGACTAAAGGTTTCAGTAAAAGGCTTATTGGTTAATTGAAATCCCGGAATGTCATCAACGATATATCTATCCCTATCGAGTACCTTGTTTACTATATACGGGCCCTTAAACTTAGGCAATAGCTTATGATTTACACCTGGAGTAGTTACAACATTTCTTAACATTATATAATCACCTACAGTATAGATTCGCGGTTTTTTACGTCTTTTGTCGTACATAAATTTATTATAGTCTTGTAAGCACCGGTTTTGTGAAATAGCATTACAGTGAAAACTCGATAAATGTCGCTACTCCGGGTCCGGTCAGCAACACTTACGGAATAGGAGAATCGTCTTTCGAATTTGATTGTAGTTTGCCGATGCTTCGAACGTAGAAAGAGTCAGTAGCTAAAGAAGAAAGAGAGACTGAAACTCGGATTTATCGCCTCAGTTTAAATATCCGCGTCAGTGTGACCACACTACTGCACAGAAGAAAGTTTTTTATTTTTTACTTTTTGTTAATAAAAATTTCACTATCATGTTGGGGAGATTTCTCTGATTAAAATGAGGCTAAACACGATATAAATCGGTCAATATTTGGTAGCATAATATTGAATTAAATATTGTACTTGCGAGTCTTTCTCTCTTTATTTATCCTTCTTGTGCTGTCCTTTTCTATGTTCGGAAATATCAAAGAACGACGCATCGAGGTGCTGGCTACATTTATCGAACGGGAGGTAGCTATTTTCAAACGGAACGGTTCCACCGTTTCGTAAGTGATCAAAAACTGCAACACTTATGAAATAGGGGGTTTCGTTAGCTACCACTGTTCGATAAATGTACCAATCCACTGACCTTGCGAAGATACGAGTACACAATATTTAATTCAATATTATGGTAACAAATATTGGCCGATTTATATCGTGTTTAGTCACATTTTAATTAGAAAAATCTTCCCCACATGATAGTAAAATTTTTATTAAAAAAAAGTAAAAAATAAAAAACTTTCTTCTTGTACAGTAGTGTGGTCACACTGACAGGGACATTTAAACTAAGATGACGAAGGCAATAAAGATTTTTAAAGAAAGCCGCTACGTCTCCGGTTACACTTCGCCGCACTGGTTCAAGGGGGATCCCCCTAGTGGTGGGGATAAAAATGTATCATTTATGGAACAGCTCTTGAGGACATTTATCGAGTTTTCACTGTATTTCTAATTTCATCACGATTTATCTCTGTGTCAGTGGCAGACTGCAAATAGTCGCGTAAATCATCATCAGGGAAACCATACTGTTCACAGCCAAATAATAATGAACTGGATGTGGTATCAATAGCTTTGTGGTACGTATTATTTATAGAAAACTGTGCCTTAATCAAAGCCTGATCCCAGGTCTCGTCCGCACTCATTTTGGCCAGTATCGATCGTAGAAATCGGTTGACTTGCTCAACTTGGCCATTGGCTCTAGGTGTCGCGCTAGCTACTTTAACATGCTCAATTCTTAATTTCGACAATAAATCTGAAAATTCACCGGATGTGAACGAGCTGCCTCTGTCAGAGATAATTCGTTTACAAGAGCCAAAATGATGAAAGTACTGTTTTAGAGAGGAGATAAGTTCTTTAACTGCAGTCGACTTAACCGGGTACATTATTACAAAGGTGAAGGCATCTATGTGGGGTATGAATGTTTAGGATGCGTGCGTTAGGTCGAGTGCTGGGGTTTGGGACTATGCGTGAGGTATGAATGGAAGATTGTTGCGAGCGAGCAGCCGGTGTCGTCTTGCGTCTGGACGGCGCCAGGATGTTTGGAAAATAGCGTGACTGTGTTTGGAAAAGTTCGAGTGGTTGAAAGAATGCAAGGGACTAAACTGTGAGAATGAAGCGATAGGCGAAGCGTGTACGTGACTGCGTGAGTCTGGGCCATGGATGCGAGGACCTTAGGAGCGAGTGAAAAAAGGGATGAATGCGTAAGAAGGATGAAGTGACTGAGGGTGTGAATATAAGGAGTGAATGTTCGGCGGCAGAGAGAGTATTGTAGCGACTGGAGTCTGCGCGAGTTCGTCAGCGGTAAAACCATTGTATAAGGATATTATATTATTAATAAAGCTATTTATAAAACAATTTGTGAAAATCCTACAAATTTGGGGGGCTCAGCCGGGATTGAGTGAGTCAGCGAAGTGATAGCGACTGGATAACGCGACTGAATAACGCGACTGATTATTGCGAACAGTGATTGCGAATTAGCGACTGAAAGACAAAGTGAACATAAGTGTACCGCGAGCGCCGATGAGCCAAATTGAATTCAGTGAATTGACAGTGGTCGAGTTAAGACGGCAATTGAAGAATTACGGTTTATCGACGTCTGGGTTAAAAGCGGAATTAGTTAAACGTTTAGTAGAAGCGACGAATCCACACACCATGCAGAGCCCTGCAGAAGAACGATCAGCGGGGATGACGGTCAGGGAAGCTGAGCTAGTCCGTCAATTGGAAGCGATGCGACAGCAATTAAAACAGCAGTCCCAGAACACCCAAAGGGAATCCCAAGCGACGGCGGCCAGGCAGGTACCCGCTGAAGGAAACGGTGGGGGTACAGCGAATATTGCGGTCATTAGGGATCTGCTACCCTTTTATGATGGTGACGGGAGCCAGTTCGAGAGATGGGAGAAGCAGGTGCAATTGTTGGCGGCAACATACGGATTGTCGGAGCAGGCGTGCAAGATTCTCATAGGCAGTCGACTGAAGGGGAAAGCACTGGATTGGTTTCAGTCCAAATACGAACATTTGGAAATGAGCGTGTTGAACCTTATGGTGAAAATGCGAGAAATGTTTTTCCGAAGGCCGGACAAGGCCGCACGAAGGAGGATTTGCGAAGAACGCGTTTGGCGACAGGGTGA